ACGGATCGGGTAGTGACAAGCCATCCTTGTATTTGGGAGAAAAGTAGCTACGTTTAAGACAGTCTAAGGAGCTTGGAAAGAAAAGCGTCTTGACTTCTTTAAGTTACTTAAAGATGTTTCACCTCTCATCCAAGAAACTTTGATTTTAAGACAGGCCTCCAGTAAATGCTCTATATAAGCGAAGCCAAGTTTCTGCTTGCAACTGTGAAGATGTATGTCTTGCCAGTGCAGGGTTCTCATACTTCTTTTCCATTTAATCATCACGTGGTGTGCAGCCAGTTCTGTCTTGCTGCCTTTTGAGAACCAGCTTATATTTCAACAGGTTTGAGCACTGAACACGTTACGTAGCATTATGCTGGAAAAGCTGGGGTAATTTTATGGGAAGAAAAATAAAAAAACAGAGACAGTGCAGGGATTAACTTCACCTGCTTCCAAGATGCCAAGGAGAGGAAAGTCTGAAGAGTGTAGAACACTTAGTGGTATATAAAGCAGTGTTACTGTTTTACTGAAGCGTTGAGCAATGTGGCCTTCATCAGGGTCTTCATAAAAACATAATGTAGTAACCATTTTGAAATAGCAGAGGTAAACTATAAGTTTGACTCTAGATTGGTTATCTCTGTCTTTCTCTCCGCAGAGTTAAAACTAACAGATCCCAATCATAACGCTTGGGTGTGTTGGAGTTGGAAATAACAAATTTCCTCTGATTGTGAGTCTCTTTCAGTTTGTGTGTGCTGACTTTGCACACACAAACCCACCCCTTAATTCCCACCCCACCCCATATTCCACTGCTGTGAAGCTGGATAAGACTATGATTTAACACAAAGCATAAACATTTACATTAAATATGTATCTGTGGTGCCTGTGCCCTGGCTTTTGACTCTTAGAGTTTTGCCAAAGTCTCTCTAGGGGGGCTCTGACTGGAACACGCCTTTGGGTAGCATGGGAACAGGCAGGCTTGGTCTGGGAACGGGAGCAGGCTGTTCATTTCTGTTGCACAATCCAATTAGCTCTGAGTTCCACCGATAAGAAACAGCACCAGATCACTACAGAAGCTTTGTGTGAGAAGTCGTGCGTCTAATAGCTGGCTGGTAAACAATCGGCAGCATCTTCAACAGGTTCCGCTTTCACCAGGGATCTACAACAGCTGGTTAACAACAGAGGTACGTGACTGTAGAACTTTTATCTTTATAGGTTTTGGGTTTCGTAAAATGATTTACAAGTGTTGGCTGGATGGATCGCCGCATAGGTTGTAAAACCAACTGCAATATAACAATTCGTGCATTTACATCACTGACAGTATATGTGGTTTTATAGAGGGACAAACATCACATGTGCACATGAGAGAAGAAAATGCTTTTCAACATTCCATGGCAACATCTGTTTTCACTTTTTCCTCCCACGAGATAAATTCATTAGTTTGTGGGAATGTCCAGGAAGCAGATGGACATCATGTCTTCATACACATCCTTTTTCTTTCCTTTTATTTCAAGGTGTATGCTTGTGATTGAAGTGAAAGTTGAAACCTTAAATGTTAAATGTATGTCTACCTTTTAAATGCAGACTGACAAAATAGGAAAGGGTCTCTTTTCTTTCTCTTTGTTATTGTGCATCATAACTAGAAAATACAAGAAATGTCAAATGTGGAAACCATTATGTGCATTTCAAGGAATTAACACTCCAGTGAGGGGAGGAAGCAGAGAAAACAAAACTGAATATTCAGCTGGAGAAAGTGTCATTTTGTAAAGCTCAACAAGACAAATTAACAGAATAAAAACGGAATGGAGAATTTAGGTTTGTAGGGAGCTGAGGAGTGATCTGACTATCCCTACTAGCAAAAACACACATGCACAGTAGGCACATCCCCATTTGAAAACCATCTTGCATTATTAATGTAATATAGGGCTGCATGAAAAGTTATTTTAGCTTATCACTACTTTGTCAGCAGTCATTTCAACTGCATGAAGCAAATTGGTCCCAAAAATAATCTCGTAAAAAACGTTGAAAAGGAAAACCCAGTCTGTTTGCACAGTTGCTGAATGGTGGGATTTATGTGACCGTGACCCCAAGGCCCTGACAGACAGCGGGGAGGAAAACAAAATGTGGGAGAAAGGAAATGGATCACTTATCAGAAGCAAACCACAACTAACAAGTGTAGATGATCCACAACCTAAAAAATGTCAAAACCACTGCAGTGTCAGGAACACTACCGGTCTTATGAGTGCTGTCAACAGCCCTTAAGCCACTGTGCGATCTTCAGAGGCTGCAAGTAAGCTACAGAGGAACCGTGTAACCAAATACCCCTTCTTTCACAACTTGGACTTCCTCAGGGGACTCGATATGAGCCAGAGACAGCAAGACTGTCTGTTGGTCTGTGTAAAGGTGCCTGATAACGTGAAGGAGCCAAGGTGGTCGGAGACTGTGCTGCAAAAAAAGTGAGAGGTGTCACACTGGTGCAGATGGCTCCGTCAACACCTGCACTCTGTGCATGCTGAGGATGTAAACCAGTGGTTGTTCGGTGTATTAATGAATTCTCATAACAATCTTTTAATAGATCATGCTGACTGCTTACCTGCTGGCAATCTTCTTCATCTGCGCAGGTAAGTGTAGTCAATCACACAATCATTGCAGACCAAGAAGAACTTAAAAGGTATATTTGGGTTAGAAGAATCTTTTTTTCTTTTAAGGTTTTATAGCTAAATGTATCAAGACAGACAAAACAGCAGTTATTCACAACAGGAAAATGGGAGCGTTTCCAGGGTTTTTTAAATGGGCCGGCAAAGGAGAACCTTGGGTGGCAGAGGGGGCTGGGTTCGGGGTGGAGATGTCTCACAGGGAACAAATAAAAGCATCTGGAAGTTCAATGAGTTATAATAATGTTAATATGCTCCACAAACATGCATTAGATGTAGCTGCTTGTAGCAATTTTGGAGTCACACTAAAGGGCAAAGGGAGCTAATGAAGCTAATAATATATTTCAGTTTTACTGCGTGGTCTATCAACACATATTTGGCTACAGTTTGCAAAGTGAAGGAGTAAAGGGGGCACAATTAAACCAGCAGCTTTCACTGCATGCAATATTATTTATCATTATACTGCTGTGGCAGTTGTACCTTTTGTTTTGTGTGATTTTCAACAAATTACACAACATATCAGAAAAGATTTTAAGCTTGAATATTTCATTCATTTCATCTGCATGCATATATTTGCAAGATTCAGTGAAGACAGAATTATTTGTCATATAAAAAATGGGTGTAAATGAAGTTTCCTTTAAGGACACCACATGAACTATAAATATAATTTAAATAAATAAATATAAATATAGAGACCCTGAAAAGCTGAAGATGGACAATTTTTACATTTATGTTTCCAAATTTGGGAATTACAAGATATACCCAGGCCTGATACATCTTCTAATTCACAAGAACCCTTCATTACATTTAACTGAAAGCCAGTATGAATCCAATTTATTACAAAGAAAATGAACAGTGCAAACAATGGCTTTGCTATCCTGAATTGAGTCAGCAGTGCTGACTCTCGCCTATGCTGTGCAATGTCATTTTCTTCAGGAATCACAGCGGAAGCCGTCCTTCCACCATACAACAAGGACCTGTTTGACATCAATGTTGACGACTGCCTGTCGGATTTCAACAAAAGCATGGAGACAAGTGACTATCAGAACATGTGCCCGTGGCCTATGGTTCAAAGGTAAATGTTAGGCTCTTCTTTTCTTCTTCATTTGTTTATTTTTTAAATTTAGCTAATATAAAGTTGTCTCTTTTTTTTCTGTGTGTTTATATATGAGAGACAAATGAGTTTTATTTAACTGGACAAGAGGTTCCCATGAGTTTCCAAGACTTGAATGAGTGGTGTGTGATTAACCAAACATTAATGTATGAGTCTGTGCTGAGCTCAACATGAGTGAAAACACAGGAAGGCTGGATAAAGATCCAGCCTTCCTGTGTTTTCACTCATTGAACTCTACAATGAAATACAGACACTTCTTTTTACTGCCTTTTCAGTAAAGACGTATAATAACCTTTAGTCATGGGAAAATCAGATGCTTTCCAGTCTCCTCATTACATTTGATGTCGGTCGAAGTTTTAATTACTCATATTCTAATGAAAACATGTGAGACCATTGCTCTTGGGCTCGTATTTCCAGACAGCAGTTGTTTCTGGAGACTTTAGTCTTTGCCGTGCTACCTGGAGTGGATGGCAGTGGACTTTAATTATGACTGTAATAATCCATACTTTACTGTCAGCATAATTTGGGAGATGAGGTACCGTAGAGTTTAAGTGGTGTGTAAGGGTGGAGTGTCCATCGTCACAAGGAGCCTTGCTTGTTGATCAGGCTTCTGGTTGTCAGGTTCAATTGAGCCTTGGTGGATTTTTTCCACACTAAAATTTTGCAGCGACATCTGGTTGCGAGATTTATGTTTGTTTAGAGAGGCTACGGTTGCTTCTCTGCCCCGAGGACGTGACAAATTAATGCTTAAACTTGAAATGTAAGCTGCTGCCTAAACATCAGCGGGTGATTTCTCCATTTATAAAAATCTTGAAGACACTCAGGCTGTTGATGTTTTTGGCTTTGTGCGCCTATAAACAAGGCGCCTATAAGTGCAATGCAACTGTGTGACATGGCTCTATGATCATGCCAGGTGAACTGAGGCAAAAAGCATGGCTTCTATTCATCTGCTGTTGTTTGTTCATGCTACATCCTACTCAGCACAGTCATATGTTCCCACTTTTTGAACCAGTGCACCTGTACATTTTACTGGCATCAGGATATTTTAATAGTGCATTTGCAAGAAATAAACAATGTTTATATTATTTGGTATCTTATGGCTGATTTTCCCCTAATGATAAATGAAAATGTGATGATGACCCATTTAAAATGCATTAAGGGTGGGTTCTGAAAGAGGGTTGGTCTGTCCAAACACCTCATGATGCCAAATAAATAATTCATGCTTACCTGATCTTTTAATTTATTAGTAAGTCTTTACTTAGCTATCCCATGAAATGAAGGTCTGTTTGCAGACAGTTGGGTGTGTTGTGGTCAGTAGAACACACATAACAGCTCTGTTGCCTGGCAATACTGTTAGCTAAACGGGAAACAGGAAGCTGAAATGTTAAGGCCTCAGTCACCCAGGTGGAGAGACTGATCGGTGACCCTCTGACAACCACAATGTGTATTCCTCCGCCAGTCGTTAGGTGAAAATGGTTGCAAAAATGCTACTGCACCAAAAACTTCCATGTGATTACTTTGGTCACTAGCAGATTGTTGCCATTGCCCATGGAAGACACACTTGTGTGCAAATACTTACCAACTACTGAGCAGCAGTGAACCTTTTTATGAAAAGGTGGTGTGTTTTATAAAAGCTACAGGCGACTGCAGCAATCTGCAATTGTGGAAAATAACTTTTTCCCTAGTGACTTGTGGTTTCCAAGGATTCACCGAGCAGACTAAGGCCCAACTCTTAAAGCTACATGT